CAGCCCGGAAGACCCACACCAGCCATCGTATGCCGGCCGTGAAAGCCTTTGACAATACATACTTTGTTTAACTTGATTTCTTTATTGTTACCTTTATAACAGGGAATTCTAATGCATCATCATAAAACTGGAAATGGACACTCTATAGTATTTTGATGTGTAAGAATTCATAATTTACTTCATGTATCAAAGGGGTTTTTTTTTTACTTCCCAGTTTCCTAGTTCTTTTTTTTTTTTTAATGCTTTATTGTATGACAAGACACAAGTAATACCTCATGTAATTTGGGTACAATGGTATTTATACAGTACAGGTAGTCCTTGCTTAGCGACTACAGTTGGGGCTGGCAACTCTGTCGCTAAGCGACACAGTCACTAAGCAAAATGTAACTGACAGACTTATAACCTTACTTCTGCCGCAGTTAAGTGAATCACCCACAGTCATTAAGCGAGACATCATGTGAGCATGACCTGTGATTTTACTGCGTGATTTGCGATTTTACTGCCAGCTTCCCAATTGACTCTGCTTGTCAGAAGCCAGCTGTAAAGCACTCAAATGGCAATCACATGACTGCGAAATGCTGCGATAGTCATAAACATCCACCAGTTGTGAAGTGCCCAAATCTTGATCATGTGACTGCAGGGATGCTGTGACAGTTGTAAGTGCGAGAACCAGTCATAGAGTTACTTTTTCAGTGCCATCATAACTTTGAATGGTCACTAAACAGGGCAGTCATTAAGCGAGGTCTACCTATATTAACTAGAGATTATTAATACTATGATAATTTAGGTAACATAAACCTTTAAAGATAAAGAAAAAGGTTTTATCAGTATTAACTATGGTTTCTGAAATGATAATGTTAATAAACATAAAGTTGCTTAAATTATACCTCTAGAGCTGCAAAGTGCATTAAATTATTTTGTTATGTAATACAAGTTTCTATCTTGAGTTTAATACTTAATACTAAGGTCTTCACTGTATTGTTACTTGTTGTTTATGCATATTAGAAAAGAAAAACAAATGGAACAGGAAAAAAAAAGTAAAAGAAGTTGCACCAAAAAGTAAATAGGTGTTTGGTTTATAACTCCCCCCTTCTTTATATCTCGACCAATGTGCACTATTTATAAACATTTAGGTCCCCTTAGAAACCATACTGTGTTTATATTTGCCTTGCTCCAGTTTCCTAGTTCTGTAATATCCTATATAATGCTTAATCAGTGTGTTAGAAACACAGTGGGTAAAGTGAATATTGTGTAAGAGTATAAAATCAAGAATGGTATGGAAAATGCAGAGAAAACTTTTTCTCCCTCTTATACAATATTAGGGGGTCTTCCGATAGAACTAAATGCAGGGAAATTTAGAGGGGTAAAATAAAAAAATAAGTACTTTATGTATCTTTAGCTGTGATGATGCCCACTAACTTAGATACTTTTAAAATGACATTACACAAATTGTTGGTAGGCAGGACAATCAAAAGCTACTAACCTTGATGTTTGCCTTAAAGATCAGGGGCTGGGATAGATAAAGGGTTATCCTTATTATATTTCAGTTAAAATTCCTATTGTATTAAACAAATTATTCCTGGGCGTTGCTAGTTGAACAATCAAAATTATCTGTGGATAATATGTTAAATGATTGTATCAGGAAGCTCTGAAAAGTTATTGTACAATTTCCCCTTTTTTATCTAATTTACCTTGATTTCCTTATTCCAGTGTCCAATTTTATTCTTAAACAGAAAAAATATTTTAGAACTTACTAGGATAATCTAAAGAAATGTCAATGTTAGTAACTTTTTCTGGAAAGGCAATATATAAATATAAGAAGTAAATAATGAACAAGTAAGTAATATTTTTGAAACTCTTATTTTGATATGACTTAAACTGGATTCTTTAACAGCTGTACTTAGATCTGTAATAATGAAGTACATAACTTAGTATTATGATACTGAGTATACTCTTCTGCTTTTCCTCTTCAAGCACAGTCATGAAGGAAATATTAAAAGCTTTTGTTATTGAATAAGTGTAGTTCAATGTGTTTTTGGTATCTTAAATTATGGTTAGTGAAAAGAAGTCCATTTCATAAAGTATTATTTGAAGCTTGCTTTTTTTTTTTTGTCCAGGATCACATGCTACTACAAGCTGCAATTCATAAAAAAAATTAAGTGAAAGCTTCCAAAATCTTTCCCAGAGCTGTACTGCAGTGGAAAAAGTATATTAAATAAGTTCAGGCATTTGTACACTGAACTGTGATTTAGCATTATGTCCATATTTTTTTAATATCTCAATTTTGTGATCTTTAAGCAGTTAATTTAAAAAGAAAAGGCAAATTCTTACCTCTGATGTTCTCTAGAATAAAGTTTGCTTCATGTTGCAGGCAGATGTTTGTGTCCCTCGTTTGAATGAAGGAGACCAGGTCGTACTGATCAATGGCAGGGATATATCAGAACATACCCATGATCAAGTTGTTATGTTTATTAAAGCTAGCTGTGAGCGGCACTCAGGGGAACTTGTACTCCTAGTTCGACCCAATGGTGAGTAATTTTATCTGTACAAAGCTTGCTTCTTTTTCCTTTGTTATACTTGCTTCTGTTAGAGCATTTGCTATTAGATTTATACTGTCTATTCTCCTTATCTACCCATTGTTTCTCCTTTAGTGTTATTTAAAATATCAGCTGGTTTTCTGTATAAAAAAGAAAAACAGCCCAGTCAGTATTTGCCCTCTCTCTAGTAGGGTGCACAAAGGTTAAATAGTTCTGTGTACTATTATGTAATTGTTCTAATGTGCTAGTTCAAATGTTGAGATTGTTGAACATTCTAGATATGTAGCCTTACACTTCTAGGACAAATTAATTTAATTACACAACATAAGAAGTAACTTGCTTTCATCTTTATGCCTTATTACTTTGGAATCATTGTTACTTAGTTTGAAAACATTACTTAGAATTGTAAATAGTTCTAGGTATATAATTTTTATTAAGAATTTTGATTATAATAGTAAAATCTAATACAAACTAAACTTAAAGAGAAGAGAATAAAGAGAAAAAGTACAAGAAAAAAGAAAAAGAAGAAAGAGAAAAGTAAGAATATAATAAAGAGAAAAGAAATATATAAAGAAGTGGCTTCCAACCTTCATCACAAGTATAAACAAATTTAGTAACTCTTCACCCTCTCTAAAGTTACTAACATTTATCTCTTCATCATTTGTTTGTTTGTTTGTTTGTTTGATTTATCTCTGCCCATCTCCCCCTAATGGGGGACTCTGGGCGGCTCACAAGATCTGTTAAAACAGTAAATATATACAGAATTACATAAAACATGAAAACTATGCAAAGCATTACCAAAAGAAAAGAAAAAGTCCAGGAGGCTGATGGTTTCCAGATATCCCATCTCTTATCTATAAACAATCCATAAAACTTCATCTTTTCAGTCCTAGTGTCAGCAGAAAGTCCATAAAGGGTAGCCAGAAGTAACAACTTG